CATTCGCCAATGAATGAAATGCAGTATCGTTAAAGCTATAGAAGCCAGATGTCATCTAATCGGCATTCATTCAGGACTGGTTACTACATGGGTTCCACCGGGAGTCCTGAATGAATGCCGACTAGATGACACCTGGCTTCTACAGCTCTAACGATACTGCAATTCATTCATTGGCGGATGGTGTCAGCCAGGGCCAGCCTTAGGGGTGTGCGAGCTATGCGGCCGCACATGGCGCCATGGACCAGGGGGCGCCCTGTGGCCGACACAGCTCACACATAACCGGAGTGCAGGGGAGCTAAAACAGATACCCGGGTGGAGGATTAATTATTCTCCACCCTTGTCTATTAAAAAATAAATAAAATAAAATTGCGGCAGAGGGGGAGGGGCTTACCGAGTGGCAGGACTTATCGTGAGGCGGGGCTAATACCTCCCGAAGCCCCTGCTGCACAGGAACAGGTAAGGAGTCCCTGCTTCCCCATCAGCCAACTGCAACCCCTGGAAAGAGGTAAGTGTGTGTGTGTGTGTGTGTGTGTGTGTGTGTGAGACTGACGGTCTGTGTGACTGCCTGTCTGTGTGTGTGTGTGACTGCCTGTCTGTGTGTGCCTGTATGTGTGACTTCCTTTAACTGAGTGTGTTTGTGTGTGTGTGTGTACATGCCTGTAACAGAGTTTAAATTTCCCCCACCCTTTCCTGTCAAGGCCGCACTTTGACTGACAGACGCACACTCACATACACTGACAAACAATGACACACACACACACACTATTACTTTGACACACACTGACAGATGCACACTCTCACTGAAAGACGCACGCCCCCACTGACCGACACATACACACTCACACACATTTCCACTAGCAATCACAAACTAATATTTTTTTTAATTTTATTTTAAATCCACCCAGCCTCCCTGGGAGAGCTGGAGTGGATTTTTTACCTGCAGTCCAGTGTGGCTGCTGGGCGGGCAGGCAGGGGGCGCACAGGCTGAGTAGGCGGCGCTTAGTGATGCCGGGAGCCGGACTGACGTCATATTCCGGCTCCCGGCCAGCTTTTGAGCCCCCCAGGACGCGAGGCAAGCAAGGGATCTGACTGGGGGTTTGGGGACAGCTTTTTTGCCTCCCCCTGTAAAGTGCCGCCCAAGGCAGATGCCTTGTTTGCCTCGCAATACACACGTCCCTGGTGCCTCTGTGTGTTACTGTATTCAGGCAACTTGGTGGGGGTCGGGGCGCCGTGAAGACTTTTCGCACGGGGCGCCTAATTGCCTAAGGCCGGCACTGGTGTCAGCCGATAGCGCTCAGTCAATGAAATGAGGGTCTGTGCATACTAACCTCTAGTCAGTAGCTGCAATATCTCAGTATGTGCAGCATTTCAAAATAAATCCTTCCACTATAACTACTTCAAAAAACTGAATTTAAAAAAAAAAAAAATGTTGACACAGATCGTATTGCCTTCCTACACAGATTAAGAGGGCAGGGTTAAACCCAATTAGGGTTAATGATTCAACAATGTTGCACCATTCCAGAATGGTCACATGACTGCTGACTGCATAGGTTTTTATCAGCTAAACAATGGTCAAGTGACCAAAACCTGTGTTTGTCAGTCACATGCCATCTATTTACAGGAGAGAGGCGGTCACAACCTGACTGTTGTGTAGTTAAGGGGAGGCATGGGTAGTTAGT